GGTGTATTAGTATCAGGGATTTCGAGGTTACTATCACCCCTGCTTGTACCAGGGACTACGTACTTTCCCACAACGATCCTCGGCTTGCGATCTTCGATCCGCGTCCTTCAATCTGTGATCCTTGGTCCGTGATCCCCAATCTGTGACCCTCGATCTATGTTTTTCGCTCTTCGCTCTTCGATCTGGATCTCTACCTTAGTCCTTCAATCTTCGGCTTTTGATCTAGATCTCCTCTTCGATCTTTGGTGTAGATCGAAACTGGTAGATCGAGGCCGATACCGGTTGGTCTGCTTCGTGTACTTCACACCAGAGTGTCTCGCCGTGAGACATGTTGCAGTAGATTCCTTAAGGCATGTCCCAGACCTCAGTTGCCGATCAAGGCTCATCAATCTCAATGTCCTTGAGCTCGCTTCACCACATATTCATAGCATGCATAATCTTCTCCGCGTTGTCGTCTCTGTCGGTCTGGTCGGGTTCTTGAACATACGCCCTGATACTGTGCATAATTGTCTGACCCGAACGATCCTGTTGGCCATTGGCTTGAAGGTGATAAGCGAGTGTCGCCTTGTGCTGAATACTCATCATCTCACTGAAACGACGGTACACCCGACTCTTGAACCTGGGATCTCTGTCGTGACGATTTTCAGAACTTGCACCATAGTTCCTGAACACCACGTCCTCGCAGTCCTGAGCAGTGGTACTGCTCATGGGTTTCCACATAACGAAGCCCGTAAACATCTCTTGAAACAAGAGTAAGAACGTGTTCCCACGTTCGGTCTTTGGAAGGTGTGTGTGTGTGACAAAGTCCATGGACACTACTTCGAACGGACCAGTCGGTTCAATATTTTCGGGTTGGATTTGGAGGTCGCCCCTTGGCGGAAGTGCAATCCGTACATTCTTTAACAAACATCTCTACAACAGGGAACATCCCGGTCCAGAAAAACTCTGACCACAGACTCTCATACGTTCTCGTAATACTTTGGTGGCCACTCTGGAAATCTTCGTGATCGTGATGCAAGATGTCTAGTCGCAAGGCTTCTGGTACAACTAGGCGAAGTTCAGAACGGTTGTCCCTGGGTTGTTCCTGAGTAGGCGTAACCAAACGATAAAGAACGTCTCTTGAATATAAAACATATCGGTCTGAACCCTTTGTGATCTTCTTGACTTCCTTCCGCGTATAGTTCGCCGGGTCACCCCTCAGATAGTCCTTGAGTCTTTTTAACTCCGGATCCTCATCCTGTTGGACCTTAATGCATCTGCAACGTTCGTCTTGATAGTGAAGAGGTCGGGGAGGGTCATCCACTTGATCAACTTGTCTGAAACGACTTCGGGTAGTAGCCATCCTCACGTATGCCGTAATCTAAGGCGCGTTTGGAATAGTGTCTGAAACGGAATCATTTGGATGATCGCTCGTCGGGCTCTGACTTGCGTCGTCCTTCCGTTCCGGGGATTCTGGAGCCTTCAGGATCTTCTCCGGGATCCTGGAGACAAACTTCAGATGTATCAGCCCATCAGCATCCTCCACCACCTACACTTTCATGAGCGCCAACGTCTTCGTCGTCAAGTAGTCTGCGGCCTGGTTCTAGCCTCGTTTGACGTGGACCAAACATACTGAGTCAAATTTCGTCCTCAACGCTTTGTACTCGGCGAGGCGGCGTTGCAGATCAGGCTGGTGGCAACGTACTCGACCTTGCGCTTGTTGGATGACAATCCTGGAATCGCCGATCACGACCACATCTCTGAAACCACGGTCGACGGCTATGTGGGGTTGCAATTCTCCAGTTGAGACTGAAGAGGATGAAAGCGAGAACTTTCGGATGCTACCGTTAAGGCCCGTCCCCGATAAGTGGCTCACACAATTCGGAACTTAGTGGACTATAACTCATGACGAGTCTTTGTTGGCCCATCAAAGAGTGACACAGCAACCGTTAGAGACCATTGGTCACTATTCGGGAGTACACGACATAACCGCTCAAACACCCGGCTGAGATCCGCACTTAGTGGGAGTTTCGCCTAGTGATGGTCGAGTAGTCGTCGATCGTTATTAGATCTCGTAGCTAGGTCGCACTTATACTTGATATTTGTATACTTACATAGTAGGAATTAAGATGAGAATTAACGCCCAAAAGAGCAGAGAACAGAACAGAATTTGCTACCTGAAGTTAAGGCTTCTTTTGGGTAAGTCCAAGAGGGCCATGCCGCTTTGCGTGGCATACATTTCTGTTGGTGAACTAGATTAATACTCCGGTTCACCCGCCAATGTCAATCCAAGAGCGTCTGTGTGTGGTTGATCTAAGTGATAGCTGGCGAATATCCGTCAGTCTTGGAGCATTATCCAAGTGAAACTTCTGGCCGGTGCATGTGCCCGGCGGCGCTGCTATAGCTGAAAAGTCAACGTACCTTCCCTACTGAAGGACTGGCAGAGTTCAAGTGTGTGCGGAAAGGCGTATTGGTCTGCTCATGGCCAAGGATGTCTGATATTTGGTTGACCTATAGTGGCGAATCACAATTGGAACTGAGTCAACGCTAGCCTGGAAGGGATCGACTCGGGGACTATCGAGATATATTCGATCCCGTTCTCGTTGGCTCTTGGAGTCAACAATTGTTGGAGTGACGGAACGGAGTAATAGTCAATCGTGGATTCCTAACACTACAACTGGTGCCGCGACCCTGGACTAGTTTGACCTTCGGTTCTGATTGTGTTTTGTTGCGGTAGGTTGACTACGAGAGACAAGTGAAGAGGTGACGCAAGAAGAGATATGGCGAAAGGATCAAGTATGGCGGTACCAGCTACGCCGGCGAGAGGAGGTGGTCACGATGATTTCGAGACCCCTAGAACGGACGCCTTGGTGACGACCGACCGCACGGCCAGTGATTCGGGGTTTGACCCCGACGCCCAGGATGAAGATGAGTACGTTCATGATGATACGGAGGATAAGGCACCCGTACAGGAGCCAGACCTCCCTGAAGATGCAGAAATGTTCGTAAAGAAGCGTGGTGGCGTGAAATCGCTATCGCGAAACCTTGTAGATGAATTTGATGAAGTGGGCGGCCCTGAGCCAGTCCAAGATGATTTCAACGATGACGCAAAATCGTGAGCGAGATACAACACGAAGAACATACAGCGAGTACTCACCAAGGTACAAGTCGGCAGTCGACAGCACGAACTACTCGTGATGATAGCTCATCGGATGATGACGATGACCCATTTGACTTCTATCGTGACCAGACAACTGAGCTCGCACAACAAATCCGCGAACTTACTGCGATGGAAGTCCTGAATTCGACTCCAAGGATGAATTATTGCAGCATCGACCACTCCCGCAGATCACTCCGTTCCGTGGTAGATTGGACATAAGTGAAAATTCGATGCAGTGGTTGCGAGGATTTGTCTATGAGATGAAAGGAACTGACATTCTACCAAACGAGTGGTGCGTTGCGTTCCTTTGTGTTTGAGAGATGGTACAGTTCACTGGCACCGAGCTCTATCCAGGAAAACGAAGCGAACATGGAGTCGGCTGAGTGATAAGTTCATCACTTACTACTGTTCGCAGTTCAGTCAGTCAGCGAGTACTCGGTACTATCGCGCCAAGAGAATGGAGAAATAAAATATTCGTGACTACCTGGCCAGACTCAATGGATATGCGCGCAACGCACATATCAAGTTCGAGAATGGAGGTCGTAACGCCAGGGAGCATGTGAAAAATTTCCTGGAGACTTATGGAGATAAAGATCTCGAACGTCAACTCCCCCAATGCAGGTGAGAGATATATACACTTTGGAATATGTGGTGAGTGATATTTTGATGTTGGAGAAGCGTGTTTCCGGCCGTGAATCATCTTAGTATTCGTCCCGGAAGGATGAAAAGCGCTATGGCGACTCACGACATTCGTATGGTCGGAGGGACAATCACAATCGCACTCACGACCGTAGCCGCAGTGAACCACGCAGTACACGAGTCGCACTTGCTGATACTGTCAGATCTCATCTCCGAATTACAGGTTCCCATGCCTCTAGAGGATGGCAACGATTAGTCGGAAGAAATTCCTGCATGTACCGATGAAACTATTGGATACGAGCAGAATGAATCCGACACTGAATATTTCGCGCAGGAAGAAGTCCAGATTGATGACCCTTATGCTGCGCAAGACGAAGGAGTGGTCGCGGCTGCGAACGACAATGAACGTCGAGCAGCCCCTAACGTAACTTTCGCTCGAAGTGATAAGCGTCCACAACAAGGTGGAACGCCTCCAAGCGGATTTAATCGAGGGGGTATCGACCTACTGCTGGTCAAGGTATGCGATTCAGTGACAATCGTGGTGGACGAAGCTTCTCAAAACCTCAGTATGAACCATGCGCCACCTGTGGAGGTCTCAATCATTCGACCCACTATTGCTTCCGTCGATACCAATTGTGCCAGCAGGTGCATGACGCAGGCCAATGTGAAGCCTTCAATGAGCTAGCCAAGAGCCTTCAGACTAAAGTCGACATAAACGACAGTAGTCCGGAGCTCCAGAAATTGTCTTCGGTGGGCATTTAAACTAGGCTTCCTGCCAACTGAGACTGGGTTAAAGCTAATCAGGCAGCCACAGTCAGCCGAGCTAGTGATCGACGCAGATTGTATCTACGTGTTCATAAGCAAGTACAATTACCTAGATGAAGACAATGATTACTGTATGAATACGACTTGATTTGAAAACGAGAGAGGAATTAGCCCTGGTGGAGGTGAATTGGAGTTGGAAACGGAAGTGAAGATCACTCAGGACGGTGACGAATACCGATGGGAGAAGGTTGCTGAGACCGGATTGATGGTCTCAGTGCATGCCAAGATGGTAAAGTTACTTCCTGGTGAACGAATGGGTTGGTGGTCGTCAAAACGATTCGACAAACGAGTGAGGATGAGAGCGATAGTGCGTGGAGCAGTGAATGATGTGCGTATACCTATATTGTTGGACACAGGAGCCAACGTGAGTAGTATTTCAACAAGATTGGCCAAACGGCTACGATTACAACAGATCAGAGGCCACGGACGTCAGCTCGAAGTGCAAGATATTAAGAATGGAAAAATATCGACGAGCATTCGAGTTGCCGCTAAGATTTCTCTGGGATGGAATACTGTATATGAGTTCGATTTCTGGGTAATGGAACATAGCGCAGGCTGTGAAGTCGTGTTGGGCACCGATTTCATGATTCCAGCCGGAATTCGTTTTGGATTTATTTAATGCAACAGCTAAACTACCGGACGAAGTGATGATACAACTCGTCAAGACACAAAATGTTGATGATGACATTCCCGAAGGGATGCATGTGCCCGGAGTACCAAACGATAACCTGCAGATTGCTGCCGGGGAATGGGCGGACTTCCGACTTCAGCGAACTAAACCATCGCTGGGAACTCACGATATGTGGGTTCGTCGAACTCCAGCTCTGATTCCAACTATTACTAAGTTCAGGAAAGGGTAGCCAACATGGGTTCGATTGATTAATATCTCACACCATATCGAATACTGTCTAGCACATTTGAGTGTGGTCATGTGGGTGCCGAGGGTATTTACCGAAGATGGTTGGATATAGTAGGGTCTCCAAAATATGAGGAATGACAAGTTTTAGCCTATGCAGGAAACCGAGATGAAACGTTGTTCCAATGGGAATGCGAGTTGTACGAGAAA